TATATATATATGATGAATCTTATTCTATTCATGAATCACACCGAAGGAATAAAGTGCAATAGATGAAAGAGAGAGAATAGGGAAATGCACAGTAATCAACGGTAATTTGTGAGAAATGTGTAACATTTTTATTTATGACATGACACCCTATTTATAGAGAAAAGATCTACAATATGTTAAGTTTCATTCATGCTTCTACATTAATTGGGGGTATATAGATTTTTATCGGTAGTTTAAGTATGTGCGTCGGGAGCTTGGTTGCTCTTTGACTCAGTTAGCTGGACCGACGAGAACTTGATAGGTGTTGCCAGTCGATTAGGTTTGGCAGGTATTGCCAGTCGACTAGCTTGGCAGGTATTGCCAGTTTAGGGTTTAGGGTAATGAGACACTATTAGGCATATACGATCGACTAGGAACGGTAGGTGTCACTAGTCGACCTATCTTATATTGGCAAGGGGTTGGCAAGCTGACTTGGTCAACTAAGTCTTGTCGATCGATTAGTCAGAATGATTGTCGGTCATCAATTTCTGATGAGGACCTCCAATCGACAAAGAAAAACTAGGCTATCGATTAGATATTGAATCATTATAATTTGATAGGTAATCGCCCTTACACGAGGAGATCGGGGGGAATGGCTGAGACTTGTCCTATTAATTTTTTATGATGTTCAGGGAGACTGTTGGATCTCTTTAATAGGACTTCAGAACCCTAGGGGTTGTTTTCCCTCTTGGATTGCTTTCCTAGTGGGGAATAACCCGAATCACCCCATGCTTCGCTTCTAGTCGAACAGTTCAAACTCGAGCCATTCGACTACCATGTTTGGCCTTGGACTTGATACGTATGGACCTCAAATTATGCCTCTGATTCTTTTATCAGTGCACCGTTAGATCTCTTCGAGATTCGTACCAACGCCTCTTCTGTATACAACATAATTTTGTCTATGTTTTAAAGAGTGCAAAACTCTTTTAAAACTAATAATATTAATAAGTTCATATGTCAAGAATGTAAATATAAAAGAATTGTGTGGTAAGTATGTAAAATATTATATCAAAATATTGAGATATAGTTTAAAAAGAAAGTAATTAAAATTTAATTAATTTGGTTTGAGATAAATCTAACATAAAATATAAGAATTGATACATCATTAAAAAAAACCTCTTAATTAAGCGGGAATTCCGATGCGCCTTATGATTAGGATTGGAAGGTTCAAGATTCAAATAAGAAATTGTCTATACTCAATTTTATAATCAACAGTAATCTCTCAATGTGGCGAAGCAAATGATATTAAAATGTCTTTGCTACTCCGTTAATCCATCACCGCTAAGTCATTGTCACTGCTGCCACAAGATCGGCTCGGCTAGAGTGGTAGTCGATGTCCTCTTATTTTGGCATCTATCAGGTTACTAGGATGAAGTTCAAGCTGTGGCATGTGGCGTTGATTGGTATCCATGACATCCCAATGACAAAATCAGTAAAAAAGTCTCGGTGGCTGTAGAGGGTGTCGAAAAGCGCCTCGTTGTATCTCGCATGAATAGCATCACTCAGTAGAAAAAAATTACTAGTTCCAACTTTGGTCATCGGCAATTGTTGTGTGGTCTCGTTGGTATTGAGTCCCCTTCTAGCAAGTTATTGAGCTCGATAGGTTCTTGTTGAATGCTTATGGTCTCCCGAGATCGCCGTGGACAGTGATTACCTACCCATCGCCTAGGAACTTCAGACCCACATCGTAGGTTGAGTTGACGGCCTTGAAAGGGCTAAGGAAGGAATGACTGAAGATAGCATTATAAGTGGGTGGCGAGCCAACCACTAAGAAGTATGCCATGTTGGTGAACTATATGTCTTTTTCTTTATAAGTGAACGACAGAGCGATGGTTCCCAACGCTTCCTTTCTCTCGCCTGATACAAGGACCGGCCCCTTTCTACTGCAATTTATCTCATGCTAATTTCATAGCCTTTTTTTTTATAATTTTATGGCCTTTTCTTGAATAAAATTTATTTTTACGTGTCATTTCTTGTGTTGATGTGATCCTTTTGTCAACACGTTTTTTATATCAATATAAAATTCCTTTTCTAACCATGTGTGACGGTTCAACTTCCTATGTTTTCTTATATATATATAGAGATTGAGGGGTTCGTGACTTTACACTTAACTCTTCCTTTTCTATTATAACTTCTCGTTGCTTTCTTGAATTTTTTTTTTGCTCTTGCTTTGTCTCCTGGTACTCACTGAAGGACTTCTGGTCAGTCGTAACGAATGATCGATCGCGGATGACTAGGGGAGGTGGATCAACTGCATGAGACATGTATCTTTGATCCCACCATTAAACTTTTGATCACTAGTGAGGATGACTGAGCGACCACTCATTATGGTGTTGACACAGCTTCAATAGGGAGCAATTTCATTTCGGCTTGAGACCGCCTTTCTTAAGGAGTTGTGCACCATCTTCACCAATCACGGTATCATGACATCATGGTTAATCGAGCTCTTCTACTTGTTCTCATTATGGGTTGGCCCAAATGGATTCGTTCAGTTTGCCTCGATCGACAAATTCTAACATTTGGTACTGAAAAATAAGGTGAAGGACGACAAGCCCCGTTTCTGCCTCCTCTCTTCTCTTCAGTGTTGGTACGTTCAAACGATCCCGTTTGGCTGCACTCGAGTAGTTTCAGTTTGATTATTTTAGGAGTTGTGTAAATGTTGAAAACCTTGCCCATAACTACATTAATTTGATTGTCACTAAAAACCACCAGGGCTAGTTATGTAAATAATAATATTTTAGGAGTTTTGTAAATGTTGAAAAACTTGTAGAGAAGTTGAAGATTAGTATTAGATTTTTAATTTTAAAACACATAACTAACACATAAATGCATACTTAGCTAAAATAAAGGTAAATATGCAAATTTGGATATTATATACATAGAGATATTAAAAATTTCTGATATTAAGCATATGCCTAACAATTAATTAGTATGAGTATCATTTCAGTGATGATAAAAATTTGATGCATTATTCCCTTAAGGCCTAGTCATGTTTTTCAAGTAGCTTGTATATTATTAGAGACCCCGCTGATTTCTAATTTTAAGATACATTTTATGTTATTTTTAAGGGGCACATTTGCATACATATTATAATTTTTACATATTTATATATTTATGTATATACAAATAAGAGTATCCAAGAATTTTTGCTAGATTTAGCTGAAGCGGCTGAATGAAGCTCACATATCGAAGTAACTGAATCGAAGTCGCATGTTGATCCAATCATTCTTATCTGCCTTAGAAGGACAACTCAACCCATCCGTGCAAGAGCAGCTATCAGAATAATTTTTCATGACTGACGAGAAGTCTTCGTGACTAATAAGGACATATGTCAGTTCCTTGTTAAAGACGCCGCCCAACACTTGAAACTCGATTGTTTCACCGAGGTATCATAAATGACCACAGTATCGCCAAAACATAACATTGATCAACAATATATCATTTTCTTCACATCACACTCTTCCATCAAAACTAGAAGAAATACAACATGCAATACATAATTTACTATTTCAATTATTTTATTAATTTTTTACCTTATGGATAAAAGGGGAGCGAAAATAATAGGGAGGGGATCTGGATTCGTCTCTGCTCCCTCTCTCGAGATCACTAATTATCTCCACTTCTCTCATTTGTCTCTCTAAATTCCTATAACTCTGAGAACTTTTGAGGAGTTGTTTCCCTCTAACTTACGAAGTTCAAAACTTAATATATTTCTTGTTGTTCCCTAAAAAAACTTTCATGCATCCATCTCTCCTCATAGTTTTATGTACGATACAAGACCTTTTTTCTAAATTGTATGTACTGACGAACGATCATATAAGACCTACGTTTTAAAAGAATTCATCAGTTTAACACTTAAACATTCATATCTACTTGCATATTTTTCTTAGTTAAATTTATTCCATCAATATTTATAAATATAAATATCAAATTTTGATCATTAGATATGTAATAATAATTTTTTTATCATCAAACCCCATTAAGTGTCTGATTTTCATAAAGAAAAAAAAACCATTTTGCTAAATCCTTTGGTTCAAATCCACTGTGCCCATTCAAAGTTTATAATGCGCTATATAAATCCCAAGCCGTATTTAGTCCCACATTGCTAAACTTATTTAAACAAACCACTATATAACTGCACATTTGGCAAAGAGAAGAGCCGAGCTCTTTCACGCGAGCTTGTAACCCAAGTGGGGGCATGTGGATGCTTGAATGATTTCATCCGGCTCTTGGGTTGGGTTGCGTTTAGCCGATATCTGACCCGCCCAATTCAAGATGGGCAGTCTTGCTGTTAGCCTAAGCGAACGCTCAGGCTAACTGCTTGCTGAATTAGAGGGGACTGCGTGAGGCTGGCTTAACAGAGCAGCGAATACCTCTTGCCCTAGGAAGCTGCTGTGAGTAAGTAATTATAGATATTTTGTTTTAAGTCTACTTATAACTATTTTGTATAACGGGTCGGTGGTCTGAGCAAACCCGATTAGCCCATGAGCCAGTTAAATCAAACAAGCATTTTTTTTTTTTTTACGTATATACCCCCCATTAAAATGCTTTTTAAGGTGATTCAGGCTCTGTTTGGGCAGGCGCGTTGCCCTAGGAAGCTGCTGTGAGTAAGTAATTATAGATATTTTG